GTGATCTTCACGTCGCAGAAGGGGTGTACGTTATGGTTGCGCGAAGCTCGGGAGCTAAAGCTAAGAGGGTACAGAAGAAGGTTTGCATACGGGTATCCTGAGAGAATCACAGAAGGGAAACAAGTTTTGGCGATCTTGAACAGAAAAATTGTGAAGGAGCAAATCGAGTTCTTGCCGCCAATTCCAGATCCATTCGCTAAGCGAAGACCTCGAGAGGTGAAGAGAGGTGAAGAAAGCTGAATGGCACACGATGTATCACTGAATGCAAAATACTCACAGAATTTCTTAAATCTTTGCAAAATCTTAAGATTATTGTTATGCAGAAATCAGTATGGTACATGTTACATTTTTGCGAGTGTATATGTAGCAGATCTTACACTGCTTTCAACAAGGCCCAAAAATCTACCTGGCTTTTTGAGGGGTCAAAAATTTTCTTCTCGTCACCTACAGCACATATTTCAGTGATGTCGAAGGAGAGGAGGAAATATTGGAGAATTGGCTGAGCTCACTAAGTTTATTTTCATTTAAATAATCATAAGATAATGCACCAGAGAAACATTGCGCAAAATATGCCTTCTTGAATCACAGAAAAAGGAAGTCATGTTGATGCAAGCTTAAAGTAAAGTTTGTGAATAGATGAAGTACTTCTACGATTGAAATTTTTTCGTCTGGACACATTCCCTTTTTATTATGCAACTGAAAAACTTATGCATAAATAGTATGTTCCAAAAATAAAAGTTAGTCTTGGGTAAATCCTACCATTATAATTCCAAAGTTCATTTGGGGGCTGTACATAACATTTAAGCTGATTTACTATTGGCCAGAGACTTCCTGGCGGGTTAAAACTTAGACTTATTTCGGTCAGTTCCTTTCTTGAATTATTCTTCACCCGTTTGTTAAGGGTTAACTCTATCTGCTCAACGTAGAAAGAAAGCTTTGGGTGGAGTTGCTTGTCTAAGTTAATTTAGGCAATATTTGACAGACGCTGTTTAGTTTCCAAAATGTTATAATCTTCAATTATCTGTAAAGACTTGTGACTCAGTGACTCCCGCTAACTTTACATTAAAACATCACTCCCAAGGAAATGAGTTAACAGATCACTAGAGGGTTTTGTGATGGAAGATGTTGCTAATTTGAAGATCAAGAAGTAAAAGGGAAAATGTTCACTCACGCGAGTTTATGTTGGCAGAAATGGCGCTGCTTTAATTAAAAGTAGGCTCGCTCTCAAACGTATCTTTTGGGAGGGTATAGCTCAGAAAAGAAGCCAGAAACAGGCTGTAGGAAGACGTAGGAGCAAATTTGAAAACAAATTGACTCAAGACAACATAATATATATATAAACCACACACACACAAAACACGCAAACAGGGGAAGAAAAGAATGAAGCAGATACATTGAATTTTGGAAGAAATCGTGATCACAAATGCAAAATTAAATGTTGTTGAGTGATTTGAAAGTTTATTGAACAAATGAGCGTCAAGCGCATGTTGTTGCATTACATTTCATGTTACATATCTTGGACAAACTGATTAAATGTTCCTACACCTCTCCCCCTCTGCTAGACATTATTGATGCAAGACCTAGAATTATTTTGAATAATTGTCTCTTTATGCCGGCTATTCATTCAGCCTCTGGTTGAATGACACTAATATTTAAAGGAGGAAAAAACGTAAGGAAGTAACCTTAAAAAATGTTTTCAGCTGTAAATCATGTATACAAATACTAGCTAATAATGGAATAAAATTGAGCTTGAATATATTATACTTCACGCGATCACCTATAAGTAGCGTTGGTAAATTTGTTTCTTCTCAAAACGAAGTTTCACTAACGCTTTTCTAAAATTTTCTAAGTAAAAGACAACGATTACTTATTACCACGCTGGCATTATAGTGCGCGTGTGTGCGCGCACACTTTGAAGGCTCCTCGGTCATTTATCAAGCTGGATAACACATTTCTTAATTACTCACACACCTCTTAAGTGGTACCTAAACATATAGTAAAGCCTACGATTCTTTTTTTTTACCATGCACGGTCTTTACGCAGAGTACTTTAGCTGAAAATGAGTTGCACTAAAAATGAAAAGCGCTCATAAAATTTGTTCCTTCTTAAAACGAAATTTCACTTACGCTTTTCATTGAAAATTTACCTATGCATTGCGTCTATTTTGAGACTACTATTGCCGGGTAATACACTGCTTGATTACTAGTAAAATATTACACAAAAATGAAAAGCGCTCATAAAATTTGATCCTTCTTAAAACGAAATTTCACTTACGCTTTTCATTAAAGTTTATCACGCATTGAGTCAATTTTGAGACTTCTTTTCAATTCATCATGCCGGGTAAAACAATGCTTAATAACTTTTGAAATATTGATAGCCTTCATATGATGTTTCTACTCAAACAAAATTGAACTCACGCAATTCTTATACGGTAATTGAAACGTCAAATACTACGATTACTTATCACCACGCGTTCTAAACGTTCCTAGGTTAGAGAGTAACATTGCCAATAAAATACATTTTAGCGAATATTAATTTGTTTCTTCTTAAAACGAAATTTTATTCGCACTTTCTTCAACAGTTACCTGGATAATGCGTTTACTCGAGACTACCTACTTCTTATTGATTTACTCGCAATATGGATAACGAAATTTTAGTCATGCGGCCCTTAAGAGGTTCCTGTTACATAAAGTTCAGCTTACGATTACTACTTGTTACCGAAGTGATTGGTACGTTCCGCATTTACAGAAAACTTTTCAGCTAATACATTACGTCTTTGAGAATACAAAAACGCTCACGAAATTTGTACCTTCTGAAAACGAAATTTCAATCGCGCTTTTATCATGTGGTTACTTAGACATACACATTTGTGGTTTTTCTGCGACTACTCTTTTTTGAGTAGGTTTATATGATTAATGTAAACTAATTCATAGCAGTCTTCCTAAAAATGCCAGTAGAAAACATGCCAGGTAATGTTTCGTATAAACAAATAATTTTTATTATTGGTTACTTTTTAAGCAGCCTCTGATGGATCATTCTTAAGTCGATTTATTTTGACTCCCTTTTTTTTTCATTACTTCTGAAATACAACGTCCTCATTGATTACCATGGTAACTGTGAATTCTCTGTCAACCAAGTTTCTTACTGAACTTGAAACGAACCTCAGTCGAACATACTGTTTGTCGTTATACTAGTATGTCATCGTAATTATCATTTCTTTTTACTGTAATTGGTCATTAAACTTTGCTTCCTCAGTCAGCAAAATCTGATCTAATTACGTATCTGTAAAATCCATTCTTGTGAACTGCTATCTGCAGAAAAAGTAACAACAAATGATTAGTGCAGGCGTATGACATACATAGTCAAACAAGAGAGTCGAAGCAAAGCTATTACCCCAACACCAACAACAAACCTTGCTACAACACTGAGAAGATCCAAACCCGTCAAAACTTCTAATTAAGAACTTACCAGGAAATAAATCCCTGAAGTGTGTGTATAACAGCTCATTAGTCTTCTCCTCTACTGTACAACTGCATTCTGGTCGGTGGAAATCATTCGGTTACTCCAAAACAGTCTAGTCTATTATCATAAGAAGTGACGATACGGCTTACACTGTGCTAATGTTTTTGGGTTTTTTTTCCTCTTATCGTTACATGCTTGTTTGCTGGTTTTGATTGTAATATTATTATGATTTTTGTTTCTTGCCTAGTTTTTGGCTGTTTGTTTGTTTGCTTTTTAATTTTTTGTTTACCAAAAAACCCTACCGGTACGCATGTATAATTGTACCTGTATACTTCCTGGTTCAAAATCTGTTCGCGGGTGAAAAATTGCTCAAGTTTTAATCTAAATTAAATCTAATCTTAAAGAAAAGAAAATGGATGCTTAACGAAGGTAGAGCAAAATAATTCACTGAATTAAGGATGACTTTGTCTTAACAGACTTTTCCAACTCAAGAACCTAATCCTGAAATCGAGAGTCTCTAGATCTCGATCTATTTTAGGGCTTGAGATATTCTGAAAATTCACTATGTAACGAATCATATTGTCCAAACTCAATTTCCTCCCTCAAAATTTTTATCGTCTCTTCTAATGGTGAATAATTGTTCTAAAAATTAACTTCGTTGGTAGAAAACTTCTTACTGAGTACTGTTTTGGAGTTGACCGAATAGCGGATGGCGGCAAATTGGACATGTGCGGCTGTGAAAAAAGAAATAATAGTTGAGGGTAAGAAATGCTGCATGATTTTAAGTCCCCCTACATCTCTGACACAGCAAAGCTAGCTAGTGAAGCGGGAAGAAGCTCGCAAAAGTAAGATGCGAAAGATGTAACATTGAAAATGAAAAAAACATTTTTGAGCGGTTTCAAGAAATACATACACGCCATTTTGTATCATCGCAATGGCGCAGTCCTTATGAACCTTGTGAGAGCAGGGGAGAATTTGACAACCACTGAAGGCGTCCTGTGACGAGAACAAAGAAAAATGTATCAATACAGGTTTAACTGGGACAAAGTTAAAGGATAGAGGCTAGATCAAAATCTCGCTGCTTTAGGAACTATCCCTTAAATTTTGAAATTTGTGAAATGGCTGAGATAGTAGGCTGTCTCCGGTTCTCCCAACTCGTTCATGTTTTCTTAATGCTACGCTAACAAGGTAAAAAGTTATCTGTGGCTAAATTTAACTTTTATGAATATTTGTTAAGGCTAGATCGAGTTTTTGAAAAATGGGGATTGTTTTGGGGCATATACGACGTGTTAAAAATTAAATATATAATAAAAGGGCGATTGGCTTTTTTCTGGTCGAGCTTACAAAACAAGAAGGCATAGACACCAATGAAAAATATTGGAATTACAAATTAAATTAAGTTAAACTTGATTGGAAATTTACTACTTCAAGAAGCAAGCCGTATGAGAAAAGGTCATTCCTAAAATTAAATGACTTGTGTGATTATGAATAAACTAGATTCCTGACATTTAGGGTAGTAATTCATCCATCGAGAAAAACTACATCACCTCGAGACATATGCAGCATTCATCGTGTCCTGAATCAGGCCTACACTTATGTTTTCCTTCAAGACGTTTGTCCAGGCATACGTTACAAACATCACAGTGGAAGGATCTGTCTCTATGGATTCTATCAAAGTATTTAATGTTAGCAAAAGGGAGTCGAATTTGTTACTTTTACTCGAGCAAGTTTGGTAGCCGGTTGTATTAAACGGCCTAAGCTGGTCAAAATGACAGAAACTTATCCAGATTTCCGTAGGATATTAGAGGTGTTGTTTTCCAACCCCTCGGATAAAAGGCTACTATATGGCAAAGTATGCTTCCAAATATAAAACAAATGTACTTCCAATCTCTTCAAGTCGGAGATAGAACGATATCATGTAGATCCTCCAAATTTTTAATTTTTCTCATTTTTTAGGTCCATAAGTCATGCAAAAATCGTTGCATCATCTTACCTACAGATACCGCATTTTTCGCAGTGGAAGGGATTTTTATCCACGGAGGTATAATGGCGACATGTTGGGCAGAAATACTCAGACATGATTGCGTTGCAGCCGCCACATCTCTGGCCATTTTCGTCGATCTGAAAAGAATGAAAGAATCAAGGATGTCTTTTTTCCGTTCGAGACTTTAGGGTCTATCAGCTGTTCTTTTATGAGATTAGCCTGTATCAGGGTAAGGTGTTATCACTCTAGATACCTTATCTTAACATGAAAGCAAAGGCAGAGGATCATAAACAAAAATTTCACCTCTTGTTCGTGATAGCAGATAGTGCATCGTATGTGTGTGGCATTAACTGCTCTTGCCTGATCCTCACTACAGTCTGACTCGTTGTGGCAGCGGTGGCAAGGGAAGAACTTTCCACAGCAGGGAAATCGGACCAAGCATCGTCGTTGATAATGACTGCAAACAGGGCGTGGACTCTCTTGTACAGGTGTTACCATGGGTTGCCGCTCAGCTTCTACGGTCGTTTCATTTGATGGGGTAGATTCTCCTGGAGTGTTCGTCTCGTGAAGTCGTTGTGTTACTTCTGCTTCTCCCATATCGCCCGTTTCTTCCCGTATGCCTGTCTTTTCGACTGTCTGATTTGCAGCATCATTTTCCCTCGCGCCCGTAGCATTTAAGGCAATAAGCCGGATAGTCTTGGTCATTATCTCTTGAAGGTATTTAAGATTAGAGCTCAATGAATTTTCTGTCCGTGAATGGTCGTTCTTGCTTATTGGTGGTGACTTTCCACATTCATCACCACCCAGACCGATAGAGTAGTCATTTGCCATTGAATCCATGTCATTGTACGCACATGCCGATCCACACTCACTGAAGAGTTTCTCCCGGTTGGCGTCAAAAGATTTTGGCAGCGATGTTGGATTTGACTCGTTTGTCATCTCGGCAAAGCATTGACTTCGCAGTACCGTGTCTTTACAGGACTCTGAGAGTGGAAAATGCCAGCTTTCCTTTTGCTTTCCGTTAGGTGGCGCTAAAGGCGCTAAGGCGTTATATACAGGAATAACCTTATCATATCTATCGGCTTTATCGCGTGGAATGAACTCTTCCTTATCGTGTGACTTTTGATCTTTGCCATAGAAGACTTGGTGATAAGCATTAGGTGAGAAGTACTTCAGTTCGTGGTCTTCTTGCCACAGACCGTCTGATGAAGCATAGTTATAGTTACCACCGTTGTGAAACGGAAGCAGTGGGCTACTCTCTTTGACGTGGCGTGCCAAAAAAACAGGATCTAGGCCCAAATTTATTCTTTCGAGGTCAGAGTCAGCGGACATTGGATATTTAATGCTGGGCCAGGGTAAGGGGGTTTTAGCGTTGTCTGTTGATCTTTGTTTGGGTCTTGCTCCTCCGTCACCTGAGTGAAATTGAGAGAGGTTACCCTTATGTTCAAGAGGATATCTAGATTTGCAAAGTCCCTCTCTATCTGTATGTGACTCCTTTTCGCTACCTAAGGTTTGTGCACGTTTGTGCTTTACGCTGCTTTTGGACCTCTCACCGGCATGAAAGTCCTTGTGAAGATTTTGTGTGAGTACTGGTCCATCTACAGTATCAACATTGTAGATAGGGTCTTCACGACTTTCGCCATCAGCAACAACATCGCCCCCATGACGCATCGATCTGAAGGTGGTTTCATGGCGGTTTGAGAGGATAGCTTGTGACATGAAATGTATCTGTCCGTGAGGATCGATTTTCTCCAATGCTCTTAATTTCTGCTTCAAAGATCGCGTTTCATTTTCCTCTTTTAGGGTGGGCCCGTCTACAGCATCCGTCTCTCTTAGAAGATCTACCAGATTATTTTGACTTCTACTGGTATCCTCCTTCGCGGTTCCATCGGGTAAAACGTCTTCAATAGGCGGCTCGAATGTTCTCTCTGTTGTCATCTCGTCATAATCTGGACAGGAAGTGCCATCCTTTTTTGGTGTATTGGTTATATTTCCTATGATTTCCAGCCCACTTTCAAGAAAGGCATGACTATCCTTGAGATGACTTTTTGCGAGTGCTGATCCATCAACAGCAATAGTGTTTTTGTTAAGATCCTCATGGCTTTCGCCGTCGGCAACATCACCCCCTTGACACAAGAGCCTGGTGGTACGTTTATTGCGGTTTGAGATGGTGGCTCTTGACTTGGAATGTACCTGTCCGTAAGGATAGGTTGGTTCTCTTTTTTTCACAGAATGTATTCCATTTTCCACTTTTAGGTTTAGCCCATCCACAGCACCCGTCTCTCTTAAAAGATCCACCACGTTCTTTTGGGTTGCACTAGCATCTTTGTCCATGGATTCATCTGGTAAAACGTCTCCGGCAAGTGGCCCAAGTGTTTTCTCTGTGGCCTTGTCGTCATAATCGACACAAGGAGTCTCTTGCTTTTCCGGTGTATTGCCTCTATTTTCTCTGATTTCCACCTCATTTCGTTCACTTTCTTCCTCATGGTGCTGTTTTCTACTTATAAATTTATTTCCGGTGGGCTTCGTTTGTCTTTGCCCCTCTTGATCTTCTTGATCAACTCCTATAGTGCCTTGTACCTCTTGGTTAGGTGTGGTCTCCCTGTTGGTTTTGATAGCGTTTTGCTCACTTGAACAAACATCGTTTCTCGTCGTCTCGACGTTCTTAGTGTACGTCCCTCTTTCCAAAATGCTAGAGCTGTCGCTTTCATTAAAGGCTGTGAAGCGGTATTCTTTAACCAGCGTTGTTTTAGGCAATCTACTACTTACATCCTCTGGAAGCTCACATTTAGGCTCCATGTCTAAATCGTTACGATCTTTTACGTTGTTTAGGGCTGGACCTTGTGGTAGTTGATGTATTCTCATCAGTTTGTCTTCTTCCTTTGCTGTGCTGTCTTCATGTGAACTAATTCTTTGGGCATTTTCATGAGTGCGGAAATTCCTAAAAGTGGGGATTTCGCTTGGTGCTTGGGCCTCTAGGTTTTGATGCGGAACCTCCAAATTACTACAATTGCTACCATTTTGGCTTGACTGCAATTTTGAGACATAATTTACTAATGCTCTGTGTGATTGAATTGAATCGCCTTTTTCGGAATTCAGTTGCTTTTTCCTCGCCCTTTCTTGTAGGTCAGTCACAAAAGAGCGCCTTAACTTTCTATCTTCTTCAAATAGACGTTTCCCCTCCAATATCTCACAAAGATCTGCTCTGTGCATGGATTCTTCCTCACGGTTGAACGCACTACCCTCAACAGTGGGACAATCATAAGCGTTCAATGTAAGACCCTCGTTATCATCACTTCCTTCTGAACTCTCTGTCAGATACTGAAGTGAAGTATTTTCCTGGTCTTTTTGATTTTGAGAGGAAGCAACTAAACATCTTGTGTCATCGTCACCCAGATCCACCAAACTTACATCGTCCTCCGTGGAAATGTATTCCTGGTCTTCTGGACCGCCATAAGCATTATGACATTGATTAGGATGCGCCAAATAGATGTCATCGGCAGGTACTGGACTCCTCTTGCTGCAGAGCAGTCGTAAAATCTGGCTGACAGTCATGAGACACTCTAGAACTTTCTCCCTTGTTTGTTCTTGTCTGTCTTCCAATTCAGATGTATCACCCTGAAATAAATTATTTTTGCATGGTAAATATTTATTGTTTTTTGTATATAACAAAACACTGTGAGGAGGTAAATATGAAGATGTATGCGTGTGATTGAAATCAAATTTTTATCGCTTGTATTCCTGTTGATCATCAACAACAGCGTTGTCTAGTCATTAGATGATGTAAGCATTGCAGTTTTTGTCTCTTCGGTGTTCGTTAGAGTGAGTATGAAGAGTTTAAGTATGACCTTCCATAATTCCATTATTTTAAGTCAGCTCAATTAAGAATACGTTTGAGTCAATAGGTGAGGCTCAATTTTACTCTTCTTGACAAAATGTACCCAATTAGGAAGTTTTTCTAATCAACATGTGACTTCTAGTTTAAGAATATTCATACATTATCTATCGAAAACTTTACGATAGAAATAACAGCTGAAATATAACTCATATTTTGACCTGTTGTTGATTATAAGCCGTGCGATATAATGTCAATAATGAATTTGAACTTAAAGGCGAAGCCTGAAAAAACTGAGTCATAAAGGCTCCGACGGGACTCGAACCCGTGCCTCCCGGTCGGACGCTTCTACCAACTAAGCTACGGAGCCATACTTCACAATTTTTCTCGGCTTCAATTTTCTCAGATTTCTTCAACTTGTACATTCTAATTTGAAAATTAAAACTCTTTAAATACAGCTTTATACAAAGGACGGAAATATGATTAATTTCAGTCTGTGATTTCTGCAATAATTTTGATGTATTGCCTTCCAAGTGCCTTACTTACTTACCACCTGCACAATTCCATTTGCGATTTTGAGGATTCCTTTTCCTTATAATGAGTTTCTACTTGAGGTCTCTATTTGTGAGAAGTGCTTTTAATATGCATATTGTTATAAGACAAAATTGGCATCCAGTGAGCATTTTCTTTTCATGTGTTTTCAACTTTTTAAAGTGTTGGGAATATGAAAGGAAATAGCATATTAGCACAAGCCATTCAATTAAAAAAATATTGTACACAGTTGATATTTCCTATTTCGATGGCGGCCTTACTTTGTTAGTAGAATTATTGTCATTTTTCTTTCTAGGAGAAAAGAGTCCATTTAACTCCAAAAAGGTTCGTATTAAGCTGTTAGTGATTATGGCATATTCTCCTATCGCGAATTTGACATGAAAGTAGATGTTCAGTTTCTACCGTAATTGGAATTTGCCTTGAAATATTTCAATTACCTCGCGGTGCTTGCTAAATAAGAGAGTGATTTGATCGGGAAAAAGTTGGTCTCGCACAGGAATTTCCTGGAAACTCCTTCTTATACTTTCGGTTCTTTTCAGGCTCGTTTTTAGATTTATGTTATGTCAAACTCCCGATCAAGAAAGTAATTCTTAATTGATAATTTATCATGTTCAACATCTCTTTCTGAAAGGTGACTTAGGGTGTAAACAACCTGTACTTTTCATCATCTTCACTGAATTTATAATCAGTTAACTTATGTGGAAGGCAGGTTGTTCTTTCGGGGGCGGTACCTTGTGAAATCTACGCAATGGTTCCTTTATACTTTTCATAATATCAATCTTGTTTTTGTTTTGGCCGATCTTAAACGCAAAAGTATGAAGTTTTTAGGTAGAAAGTCGTTTTAAAAAAGAGTAAACAAACCAAAGGTCACTCAGTATGCGGGATCTTTTTATCAGTTTCTCCCATTTGGGTTTTTCGGAAACAATTTCGATGCATGTAAATGAAAGGAATAAAAAATTTCAACAATGCAACAAATTAATGGAGAAAACATAGAAACCACTAAACCAGTCCGTTCTTGGATAAACTTTAATTCTCCAATACGCCTCAACAACACCAGTAAGTGATTTTGGTGCTAAGTAAATGACCTCATTTTTAAAAGTAGACTCCCCCACACTGTATATTACGGATGCATTAAACACTACGTAAGTTTAAGATAAGGCTCCGTCCGGTCGTACAACTGGAAATGAAGTAGGTACCACTTTATCAATGGCTTCACCTCAATTTTACGAAGGCAGCCTCTCGTAATATCAGCTGATGTTGTTTGAGTAAACTTCAGCAATCTTTGGTCTCACAAAAGCCATAATTTTATGTTGATCAGTCTTCTAATAGGCTTATAATTCTCAGGCAGGTTTGGTTTGCCCTTCTTTCCAGAATAGCAAACAAAAATTATAGAGAATGCGTATCCAAGAAGGCGTAAATCAATTTCAACGCAGCAAGGAGAGCCCTGGAAAGTAGTTGTAAACTTTCAATGTAATCGAAATCATGGATGAAGGCGTTGAGAGAACGTAGGCAACGTTTACCACAGAGCAAGTAACTGAAGCGTTAGAGGAGAAAATATTCCGCTAAAAGGAGTCTCGGTGCCCGCCAAATAATTAATTTGTTGACTAGGGTCGATTCCCAGTCTTATGTTTCTCTTGTATTAAACGTCATAGAAAAACCTCGCGAGCCAGTGCCAGAGTTTGGGATGGAAATGTATTGAGCCTGTCGAAGGATTTAAGTAGACATACCTACTTCGTAAGAGACAAAACAAACAAGAAGAAATTGGCAGATTACTTTGCGGATCTTAGAACATGGAAAGCTGATAAACTTTGATTTGTCGTTCTGTCATGAGTTCCGAAAATCAGTGTGCAGTGCAGTGGAAAAATTGGAAATTTCCTGAGATATTTCAACGGCAGAGCTGCTGTACGAAGTACAACAGCTGTGAGAGCGAAGGGAGGCATAAATGCTGTGGAAGTGTATGCTCTCTTCAGTAGCTCGCCTCTGGCGTTTCAGAAAGAGAGATAACCATTCAACTCTTTCCTTCATCGACAGTATCTGCCCCTTCGTTGTTTCGTATCATATCTGCTTCACTGAGATGCACCAGCCTTGGAGTATGTTCCAATTCATTGAGCTTGACTGGCGCCAAGGCGCTGTTTTGCAGTCTATTTTAATTACTTTTGCAATTATCCAATCGACCAACTTTGGATCTAAAATATCTTTGGGAAATATGATTATCTCTCGTACAAAGATAATTCGTCGTGAATTTCACTGCAGAGTCCTATCAGTCTTTTTAATTCGATTGTATTGCATCTCCATAGCGACCCTTACACAAGCGCAAAATCCCGGCTTTTCCGGTTTCCTAGTGTTTGAAGTTCTTGCTTAAAATCCTTGAATTACCATTGCAGTTTGAATCAGTTATCCGCAAAGAGTTTCCGAAATGATGGTAGAAAATTACATTTTTGAATGTAGCCGAAACCGGCAAAAGAACGAGACATTGAAAGGAGGATAAAAGAGGAACATCGACCGATAACTGAGACAACCCTAAATATATTGGCAATCATCAAACCGTTAGGAGAATGTAAGAAACCGGCAAAAGAAACCAGACGTTTAAAGGAGGATAAAGGAGGAACCTGGACCAACAACCGAGGCAACCCTAAACATATTGGCAATCATCAAACTGTAAAGAAAATTTGGGGTAACGCAATCTTTTGCAAAAATAAAGAGAAAATCAACAACACCATGAAGACGAAAGGAGACTGCTCTGAAATAACCACATGTGAGTCCAACACCGACCACAAAGGCGTTGTTTTACACCGGTTGTCACAAAGTCACATAGAGCAAGCCTAAAACAATAAATATCTCGGTGTAAAATAAATTTACTCACAGTTTCTCTTTTACAGACTTGAGACCACCCATGAGCCCATTTCCACCCATGATTCGAGGGGCGATTGGTTTCACAGAGTGTGACTGACTGATCCAGAGAAACCTCCGATGAAGTTTTTTCTCGGCAGGGCACTCTATACTTCTCTACCGTCTGACGAATTTCTGTCCACGAGAGTGCATCAGGTACGCTAGCCTGTAATGCGCTATTCGAGTCTACCACGCCGGTAAGTGTTGTTCTTGTTGTTACGAACTGGATCTTTTGTGTGATCAATTTTTCACTGCGTAAAATAATGAGCCTTGCCTTTGTCGGATGGAGAACTGTCAAAGTAAAGCTCTGACTTGGTAGCGCTATGGATGAGATTCTTCCTGGGTCACTTTGCTGAAGAAGTTGCAGAGCAACTTTTTTGAACATGAAACAGCTTGTTTGCTCATCGTAAAAGTTCATCCGTGTAATCTTCTGACGCATCGATGTTTCTATCTCAAAGATCGTCTCTTTCTGGGGTATACCATTGCTTGGAAGTCCTGATAAACAAAGAGGCAACAAATTGATTCGACTTCCCGTAGACAAGATGTCTTGAAGGCCACATGTCACTGATGGAGTCAGATCCACAATGACCTGCGTTGCGCGGCTTTTGTCTTCAGCTTCAAAGCACGTTCTTTGAAAGCACTCTTGTACCGCAAGTGAGATCTTTTCCTTTAGAGCATGAAGGTAATCGATATCTAGAAAGACTGGTGATTTGCTAGCCACCAGAAAAGCATTTCTGGGTGCATTTTCCATGCACGCCAGGCTGCGGAACAGCCGTTTCTCAGCGGAATCGCCTTCCAAGTCACTATCTTTCTGACCAATTTCAGAGGAAATGAGGATATCTTGTAAAGCTGTTTTCCCATTACAGGTGACTACAGTTCTTGAAGCATAAACCTGAATCCCATCAAGGAGCAACAATGGGGAGTCCGTTTCGTTTTGAAAAAGTTTGCAATATAGGTCATATGCTTCAAAGGTCGTCTCGATCATTTTTAGTTCGATGCAAAACAACAAAAGAGAAATTATTACAGGCTTCAAGTCTTGTTTATGGTCAAACTCCATCATTTGCGCAACTCCAGAGGTTTCTTCGACGGTACTCTTAGAATTTCTTTCTTCCACGGCTTTGCCTAGGGCTTTCAAAAAGTTTTTCAAGTTATGATCTGGCTCTAATGTGTCATGAATATTTAGTTTCCTCCGAAGGAATATGTTGTGGAGGCGTAAAACACTCACATCTGGGTGGCCTTTGATTACATGTGCTCCACAATGCATGTCTGCTTGTTGGAAAAAGACGACGGCTTCCTCTATCATTCCATGGCGGAGAAGCTTTCGTCCACTCTGAAGAAAATCTAAAGAATATTTCAAAGAGAGGGTCGACCTTGAACAGGGACGTGCTGTTTTCATCACGGTGACCGTTTCCTCATCAGCTCTGCATTTCCTCAGGTGACGGTTACACTCGTGGTTTAACAGTGTGGCCAAAACATATCCATACTCAGCGACCAAACCTTCAATTCCATGCTCTGTCACTCTCTGTCTTTGAAATGTTTGGTAACCCTGAATAACTTCCATGTACTTAATTGACAATTCCTCCACAAATGACACTTGGAAAATAGCCTCTATGGTCTCAGTGGCTCTCTGGTAGTACACGTAAGATTCTTCTTTTCGACCTAGTATCGATGTAACATCACCAAGATATAGGTAGCACTTGAGAAGGAGAGGATTTTTAACGCCGAAGATTTGTTGCAGAATGTTACTAGAACTTTCAAACTTTTCAGCGGCGCTACGGAATTCTCCAATGATACTCAAAAGTTTGCCTTGTTTATACAACAGGGAGGCAACGTTGAAATGATCTTCTCCAAACACAGTTTTAAGAATTTTCACAGTTGTCTGCAAGAGCTCCAATGCAGTTTTGATCTTCCCTTTACAGATGTAGACTGTTAATAACTTCTCAAGAGCCTCGATTCTCACGTTCATGTAAAGGTTTCCAAATCTGTCGACAACATCTTCAAGTGAATTCAAGGTTTCAATGCTAAACACTTCATCAGCGTCCTCTGGTTTTCCGTGAAGGAGCAGAACTACAGAAAGATGCAAACGAAGGAAAGTGACCAGATACAGAGAGTCTTGCTTATCCACGTCTTTGCAATAGGAAATCAGCCACCTCAATGCATTTTCTGCTTCATTGAAGGCGTTGAGGGTAGTATGCAACACCGCTTGATTATTCATTACCGTAAATACCACTTCAAATGGATATGGCATACCCTTCATTTCTGTGGCTTGGCAAATCTTTACCAATTTCTCTTGTTGGTCAAGGGCTTGAGAATAATTTCTAGAAATTAGATTTAAGCGGCTGATGTTGCTATTTACAGCAAAAACTTTTGTTTCAGCTAGAAAGCTTTCCGAGAGACAAAAGTTTTCAAGGGAGGTTTTAAACGCTTGTTCTGCCTCTTGAAAATCGCCCATAATCAGATGAACACACCCCTTGTTGTTATAGGCAGCACCAAGGTCTTGTAAACGACTAGTTGTGTTTGATTGGAGATGTAGTTGGAGCAGCAAGTCAAATGTTCTTTGCACAATTTCAAATTCGGAAATTAACAATGAAAATGCAGCCAGGACGTTTAGCAATCCAGCGTAAAACTGTGCTCCACTTGTACTTGAATCTAAGAGTAAAGTTCCGTGTTTTATTGAGCAACTCACGCCTTCCTCCAGAAAGAGTTGTCTTCCTCGGTTCAGTATTTGCAAGCCATACTTTGTCGGAGTCTCAAAACAATGAGCTTGATTTATGGACAGTATTTTGAAAAGATCTTTTACACTTTCTCGCGCACTGACAATTTTGTTACTTTGGTGGTAAACAATAGCTTCGTCAAGTTTTCGAACAGCAGTGTCGCTGATTATCCGAGAATATACGTCATGCCTCCAAAATGCCGCTCTAGGATTTAATCGATCAGCTGTAACTGATTCATCGCGGGCCAGTTGCGTGTCCCCAGTGTTACTCTCTGCCCCGGCAATCTGAAAGTCAGTGCCCCGTTTCCATTCTTGCAAATCGTTCTCACGCATTTTACACGCGTCTCCTGGTGAAGTAACCTTACCTCTCCTGGGATGTTTGACTTGTCTGTTGCGCACTAAAAGAGAATATTCAAGAAAACAATAACTCTTACTTTATTACGTAAAATGGAGCTTCTTGCTTGCAATTTTTTCGAGTACACTTCTGTTCCTTAATTATTTTCAATTATAACATAACTTAGATGCAACGCGCTTTGACTGGTCAAAAATCTATTGTATTTTGCCTGTATATCCAGAGAAAATAGAAAGGTCTTCCCCCATCCTAAGATAAAGCGCCACACGGGGCGAATTCACAGATTTTAATTTGTTACAGGTCTTTAGTTTGAAGGAAAGAAAGAGGACATTTTGAACGCCAAAAACAATGAGAAAATTGCATGTTTTAAAATGCAATTTTACTTGCTTCTTGCTCCGTTTTAAGCCTCTAACTTTTCGCTGCGTGGTTAAAAATGAAAGAACTTCAGAAGCTCTCGACCCTACATTGCTCGCCGAGAAGGAAAAGTTGGCATTTTTTTGCTTCAAGAAAATTGTAGCGACAAACTAACTGGATATTCATTTAGAAATTTATTGAAAATCTTATTTAAAGGAGAAAATATTTGTAAACCGATAGAAAATATTGATAAACCGATTAAACGTGTGATTTACTGCGTAAATAAAGTATAAATACGATGTTTTGATATTCACTTTTTACATCATTATTAGCAATGCTATATTTTCCAAATGATGAAAATTGATCTTTGCAAAATTAGCAAAAGGCCTTTCCTGTGCCTAGACACTCATTGAAAACTGAAACGTCCAGACACTCTTATCCTACATGCACTTCGTCTAATCTTTACTGCGCGTAACTTGGTGAGTGACTATACTTGCGCAGCTCTTTCGATATTTTCACTTTAGTTTTCTCCAAAGAGAAAGGGAGCCAAGCATTTCCCCCCTTATTTGAATTAAGCATTAACTTCTTTTTATAAGACAAGTGAACTTATCATATTATTATTTACGAGTGAAACCGCAAGGAGCAGCATACTTTTACAACAATTATATCGTCTGAAGCTTTCTTTAGTGTGAAACCGTTTTACCGGTTACTAGTAAATTGGTAAGCCACCCTTAAAATCTTACTTCCTTCAGTTTCTAGTAGTTTAAGATCGACTATTTGCTTGGAAACCTTTTTTCGGTTCTTTTGTTTGAAGCTAGCATGTTTGATTTTCGCTGGTTGAATGTAAAACGTGAAACGTTGTCAAAAGCATCGTGATTGTCAATACGTTTTCTTATGTTTGAGAAATTCCAGCATTTTGTGATATTTCTGTGTCCTAGAGAAATGCCGGGTCATGCAACACTGCTTTCCTATATTCTCCAGGAGTCCAGAAAATATGATAAACTTGACAATAAATTAGCATTTACTTTACAGTTGAACTAAAAACCGAGAAAAAAAATCAGTAAAAGAAATGTAAAACCCCTGTGTATTGCAAATCCAAGTGTTAAATCAATCACTCATCCTCAGAACAATCAATATCTACCTCCTGAGGATTGGATTCCCCTCGAAACTTGACCTTGGGGATGTTTAAGCTCCCCAATGTAAGATACAACCATTGCTTTGACATTCTTGAGCTCCTCCACCGCAAATGATGGAAACCCCGACGTTGCAAACATCTATGAAAGAAATGTGTCGGAAACTTACTTACTTAGGTAGCGAGCTCACGGCACCTATACAACTTTAAATATTTACTTTTAACACGTAGAATTTATTCAGGTTAAGGAGAAAAAATTTTTATTACCGTTTTACCTTTTTCCAGGTAGCGAGTACGGATCTCAGCACTGGTACGGAGCTAATTATCTTACAATTTAGTGCAGCTTTTTAAATACAACACAATAAAATAATTTCCTTTTAAAAGAATTATTAACAAAAAGACTTTTTAAGCTGGTCTATCATGCATGAATAATGATTAATAGAGTGTTAAATATATAATTATAAACAAAGACAAAAAAATTTACAAATTATAAAAGTTCTAAAATTTCAGGCTGAAATACGAGAATAAAAGATTATTTTTAATTTTACAGGCGTTTAAATTATTTATCCCAAATTTACAAAGCAAAACGTGAACAGAGGATTTATCCCATTGTGTGAACAGAGGCTTATTGTGTGAACAGAGGCCCATTGTGTCCTATGGTTGGGTAATTTATTGTTATCAACTGAGTTGAAAACGTAAACTAGCCACCGTAAAGATTTTAAAGGCTGACGTTTCGAGCATTAGCCCTTCGTTAATCGCTCTGACGAAGGGCTTACGCTCGAAACTTCAGCTTTCAAACTCTTTACGGTGGTCAGTTTACGTTTTCAACTCAGTTGATAACAATAAATTACCCTGTTATACTCTTCCACCGACGTAGCACCACATTTTCTTAAGAAACTAACCCCCTTCATTCATTTGTCCTGTGGTTGAATGTCAGGGTAGATAAAAAAACACTTCTCTTTTAAGGTTATCTTCTTTACAACCGAGAACGAAATTTCGACTAGTGTTAAGGTATTTTTAGCTTTTATTTCATTTCATTATATTTTTTTTTACAAAAAACAAATGGTTCCGGAGGTTCCGTGTTCTGCTGATCCGTACTTTAACCCTTTAATTCCCAGAAGTCACTAACATGTAACTTCTCCCTATAATATCCATACAATAATAATAATAATAATAATAATAATAATAATTATTATTATTATTAATTAATATCCATACAATATTCAGTAAACAGGTAAGGAGAACAGTCAAACTAAACAGGTTGAAGTTGTTACCTTGATCTAACACCAAATTCTCATAACTTATTGACAAGAAATTGTGTAGCAGATAGAAAGGAGAATCTAAAATCAGATCTTGGGATTCAAAGGGTTAATAACACCCATCAAACACAATCTTTGACCCGGTGAAATTTGTCAGTTTGTAATTTAAGAACCGGCTGACATACCCTAGATGGAGATTTTAACAAAGAATATGCAAATCAACCTTACCTCAAAATTTCTACGTTGGGATTTAATTTGAAGCCAAGGTTTCAACTATCCTGGTCAGCTTCCTTCTGAAAGAGAATGACGCAAACAAAATGTTTTTCAATAATCAATATTTGCCACCTATGCAAACAGTGAACATATGGAGAAAGATTGATAACATGAAATGAGCGAAAATACGTGGTGATTCGTTAATATCTCCATAAAATTTCCAAGTGAAAAAAAGAATATCAGCTAGTGGATGATACATTCGACAAAAAAGAGAAAAAATACGTAATCTAATACAGAAAAAAATTCGCTGTGGCTAAATGTCTGGCAGCAAGGAACAGTCTCAAATAGACTACATGCCCGGCAGTCAGAAATTTTCACAGAATTCCTATTGAAAGGTTCTGACAAACTTGTTAAAAATTTAACAGATTTAAGATTTGCTTTTTTCAACAAGTATACGTTTTTCAACTAAGACATTGGCATACTTGGCATACTTGCCATCACCCTCATTGGATCATAATTAGTTGTCATGGTGTTGAGGGCCCAAAGACCACAGGGTAATATTGCGCAATTTTGCCATTTTGTGGTGGAGGAAAAAAAAAGACGACAAAAAAACAAAGGCGTTTTATGACTGGGTTACCGCAGGTATACCAGAAAAAATTCTAGACTTCTGGCCCCGGTTGTTCGAAGGTCGGATTGCGCTATCCATTGGATAAATCTCTATCCGGTGGATAACGCTGTACATTTTGCTATCACTTATCCGCTGGATAGCGATTTATCCGTTGTATAGCGTTATCCACCCTTTATACAACTAGGCCCAGATCACTATGCCGGATACGCTATCAAATAGATTAAACACCCGGCTGTCAGGAGTATTCACCAAAATGCCTATGGCATTTTACTGCCCTCAGGAGCATTAAAATTATCTCCCCGAAAGCAGGTAGAAGTATCGGCGATTATCAGTACTACTCATATTAGCGGAGCTCGCAGCGTGCGCAGCGTTTATTTAAAGGAAATAAGCCGAAAAAATTTGGACTTGCGACCGTACGACCGACCGCGCAAGGTGCTAGTTTTAGTATGCACGGCCAATTGCATTGCGGGTAGTATCTCAGCCATTACTTAATGGAAGGGTGAGGGAAAAGGTAATGCGCAGGCGCGATTGCGTGCGTGACTTGGATACCCTATTACAGTGCGCCAGGAAACACCATCGGATGACAATGAAGTGCGCATGCTCGAGTGCCGAGCTTTACTGCACGGTACCGCGGGTACACAGTAAGACATTACACGAGAGCTTCACGTAGGCTGGTAGATGTGAAGCCGCGCAAGCTAATAATTTGCAACCCGCGTTTTGAGCGGGAAATCATATTCGCGTGGTTGTGGTTGAACAGTATTCGCAGTATTTTGCAATTTCTAATCAACTTGCTAAGTAACGATACCGTCAAAGCTAAAGCTCTGTCAACCGGAGGAAATTGTTATAATTCAAGTTCATGGAGAAAGGGTTTTGAGTGAAAATAGACTGGAAAGAAAGAGACAAAGTGACCAAAGAAAGCAAGAAGTAAAAGGAGCAAAGCGAGTCGAGAAAAACGCGAAAGAAAGTTAGAAAGGACGCCAAAATAGACAGAATATGGCGAGAGAAATGCGAAAGAGAACAAGAAAAGGAATAAGTAAAAAGGCGAATATCTAGCGAAGAGCAACTTGAGAGAAAATACAGAGAGCTCCAGAAAAAAGACTGAAAAGAGGCTAACAACAAAGAGAAGCGAACTACAAAGGATCCGAGAAAGAAGAGGAGATAAGTCGTGTCTTACCTGGGCTTTCTCTTACGCTAAGGCCCAGAAAAATTCAAACCTTCTTTTACCAATCGTCGTTTGATACTAGCCTCAGTTTATAATTCAATCACCATTCCTTCAATTTCCTCTCTAATCTACCTGCAAATAGTTAACTTTTCTGTTTTGATGCAAGTGTGAAAAGACAAAACAGAAGTGTTGCAGAGTTTTCTTTCCAGACTGAATTCAGGTTCACGAGCAGATCAGTAGACAAGTTAATGTCATATGCTTCTCCTGAATCTTCAATTTTATTGCCCTGGTTT